CCATAAATTCACGGCTTAAGCCTCCCCATCGGACCATCGGAGGCCTTCTGTTTGGGCCGCTCTCCATCTCATATTGCACGAATTCTAATTGGAGTTGCGGCTTAGCCAGGCGCAATAAAAATTAAGTTGCCGGTTCGAACGGAGCGCGTTAAAAAGGTTTTCTAACACGCCATCAGCCAACGAACTGTCTGCTAACCTTTTTTTTTTTTGTATTTTGCCTGCTTTCTGTGCCTTTATCTCATTATAATCTACGCGCATGTGCGGCACATTCGTATCTTTTCAGTCGTTTTCAAGTACACTCTGCCCTCAGATGCAGGCCGAGATTTGAGCTGTGTCGAGCACTCTAAGAAATGCTTTTTATAATACTGTATAAACCCAAAAATCTATGGATTTTTCTGTAAAAAGATTTTAAATCTTCCTAATTTTTGTAAAAATTTTTGTCACAGTGTAGACAAAAGAAACTGAACCAAGGAGCAGGGGAAGAGTCAACGGCAAACAAGCGCAGACAACGTTTGTCGGTCAAAATCAAAATCAGCCCCAGCCTTTGTTCCTTCAATTCCGAGAATCGTGGACCAGTTATGAAACAAGTCTGCAACATGCACACCACTACAGAGACGCCACAGTGTCCATGGCAAGGAGGCGGGAAGGGGTTAGGGGCAGGTGTGCCGAGGTACAGAGAAAACAATAAAGAACCCAACCCGAGGGCTAAAACGTATTGGGCCCGAATCTGGGCTTCAGTCCCGGGACCCCAACTTTGTCTCGATAGCTGCGCCTGTGCGGCAGAACGAAGTACTTTATGGATCGAAGACAAGAAAACTCGAGGCTTTTGTACCTGCCACTTGGCTTGGGGCAGAGCAGCGACTGCGGTTACGACTGCGCCAGTAAACTGCAACTTAATTTCTGGCTCGATGGTGCTGCAGCGTTGCAAGTACTTCATCATGTTTGGGGGAGCAGTAAAAATAAATTAACAAAAGACAGCCAGCCAGCCAGTCGGCCGGCCCAAGCCGAACGAAGCCCAAGCCATTCACCACTTCCCGGCTGGGACTGGTCTAGCTCAATATGAGACGTAATAACTTGGCCGAGAGCCGTGCGAACAGAGTCTGCTCCTTGACATCAAAAGCGCAGCTGGGCCTGGAATCAAGTTCAGGCATAGGTTTTGGCCAACTGCAGCAACAGATAGGGAAATAGCAGGAAATTGGCGGCTAAGTTTAGAAAAATTATTACACTTTTAATGAATTATTTAACGACTTCATTAACGTACTTTCCTAATTATCCAAAAAGTAATAACGTGTAGAAGCCTAAGCCTATGGTTATTAAAACATTTTAATGATCTGCTCGGGCTCTTATAATTTATGTTCGTTCTCTGTAACGATCTGCAAAATCTACTGGCTCTGCCGAGGGATTTTGTGTATCTGTGGGTATGCAAAACAAGTTGCAAGCGACACGTAGGTGGCTTTGAATATTGAAAAGTCGTTCTGCAGCCTCTCCTCCTCTACTCCTTCGGCTGCAGCGATTGAGACCTCCCGGAACGGCTGAGCGGCGGCAGTGGCAGTGGCAGTTGTGCTGGCTGGCAGCCCCCTAAAAACGAAAGACTTAAGCAACGAACTTGGCCGAAACTTGCTCGGGGCATTTTTTATTTTTGGTCATTGCGAAGGCACTTTCACTGCGATCGTCAATTTTGCCATTCTATTCTTTTGTCTGTATATTGTTTTTGTCGTGCTTTCGTTGCGAAGACACTCGACTGAAATAGAAAGTGCTGGCATCGTCAAATATCGCCGAAATAACATTTGCAGATACAATTTAAATTCAGACTTTTTCGTCATGCTTCTTTCACTTGGCACGCATGCAAATTTTTTGCAAAAAAAAAGACAGACAATAGCAGTCAGCAATAAAAAATGTAAATAAACTTGGCAAATATTATTCACGAAATAGCCAGAAACTGTAGCAATGAAAGTGAAGATATTGCGTGGCAATTATGTTTGTGACTGATTTTTAATTGTTTGAACGATGGATTCAACAGAAGCCAAAACGGCTATAGACCGATTACAGTTAAAGCCATCAAAACGGGTTGGCTGTTGATATTAGCGTGTTCATTGTTGGGCTGGCCGGCGGTTCATTGACCAGGCCCAGGCACGAACCACGACCACCATCGCGACCACGACAAGTCCGGCCAGGCCGGGCGGGCTTTCTAGCAAATTATTCGAGGAACCCTGGCTGGTCCATGGCAACTCGTGTATTGACCAACGGTCATAAATTTGCATAATTTGCAATTGCAGACTAAACGCCAGTGTTTAAACTATCCCCAATGTTTCATAAAACATCATTATTACGAGGCTTATTGTCAACGCTGTCAACGCTTATGCAACATCTTGTGGTGCCCCATTCAATACGATGGCGTTTAGTTATTGAAAACTCCCCAACAATCAGCTGCATTGATTTCCCCACCAAAACCACAACAAAGGAAAATCCCAAGCGCGTGTGGCATTTCCTATCGTTTTATTTCCATGACTGTTGTCACAGCTGCTGCCTGGCCGTTTCATATTCAAATTTTTCTAGCCAAGAAAAACTCTCACGCGCCGCCAAAAAAATGAGCTCCGTCTAGGGTTTAGTTTTTGACTTGTTTTCCATTTTTCCATCTGTCGGGTTACTCGATTCGGTGTCTTTTTATTGCATCACGATTCCGCAATACATTTGACAAATTTATTTTGATTAAAGGCAATTTCTTTGGAAGTGTAGACATGAATTGAATTTCGCTTGATTGAGTTGTGGCGTTTTATTGTTATTAGTTGTATGTGTCTTCATATGAGAGGTATGGGGTTTTACGCTATACCCTACCCTATACTTGTCGTAGATGTATATGAATATTAAATATATTGAGGTATAATCTTAAAACATATCCGCAAAAAACATATTCTGGTTTTTCACAAAAACCTTAATTTTCATTTAGTTGTTCATGTTTTTCTTTGAATTTTTATTGAGTGACAGCTTGCAGCTTAATTTATCAAAATTAGAAGCCAGAAATTTTCCGCTTGATTTCGTGTCCAATAAAAACAGAAATTCATTTGGCAAAAGCAGAGAAAAAATCAGAAACAGAAGCAGAAAATCAAATCGTCCAAGTCGAACAAAAAGAACGAGACTGATTAATGCAAAACGTGGAACCAGCTGGCACAAGTTGTCACAGTTTCCATTAGGTCATCGCCACATTTACATATGGATTTGAAATTTTTAAACTGTGCGTTGTTCCCCACATCCACATCGGCTAGAGAATCTAATAAAATCGCGGTGGTCCAAGTCCAAGTCCGTGTCCAACTGGGTACTGCGAGCTGGGGGAAATGGCGTGAGAAAACCGAGAAAGTTTCGCTGGCTCAGTGCAGGTGGCAGATTATCAACTTTCCTTGGATACCCGGTGGACTCGATGGATTTTTATGGATGTGGCTTGGCGTGGCGTGGTGTTCTTGGCTGAACACAAAAAATTGGCAATCATTTGTAAACAATGTGTGAGGCGAGGTCGGAGGAGGGGCCTCGGGTTAAACGCGGCAGGGTAGCCAAAATGCTATTGACTGTTTAGCAGCTGAGAAGTAAGAAAAACGGCGCGCATGACCCACTTTCGAGCCATGTTTATTTCTTTTACTTGCGGCTGCCGCTTGCCCCTCGCGCTCTCTCTTTCTAAACAACTTTTTAGGCAAATTAGCAGCTGCAAAGGCATTGAAAGTTGCTTAACCACTTGCCGAAAAAACACACACACATCAAGTCTAAGCCATGGCCAGAACCTTACAGAATTGGTTATTACGTAGCCGATGGCGGGGAAACAAAAACAATGGCAACAAGTTGTCTTTCGATTGCAGCAAATTCTAACGATAACTCTCGAAACACTCTCGACAATACTATACACTTTCAATGCCAAATAACCAAACTGGGTCAACAATTTTTATATAGACAGCCATACGCATGCAATCAAATGGCTTTTTGCTAGCCTTGCCATTTTCTAGTCAGTTTCATTTTAGCAAATTCTTCCCGCGATTGTCATTTAAGGTTTGCGTGATCATTCAATTAGTTAATTCATCTCTTCGGCTGTCTTCCGCATTTAGTGGAAAAGTGCAAAACTGTCTGCAATTAATATGCACCGTCAACTGCACAACAGCAACATCAACAAAAAGCGGCTCAAGTTGCAGACTATGACTATGGGCTAGGATGGGTTTGGGCTTAAGAAATTCTGGGTGATTAATTCAACAAGTATATCCCAGTATTACTCAGAACCCTTAAGATTATATGAGCCACAAAGTAAGAATTGTGGATAATGATTTTAGTCACTATATCATTTCACTAAACAATTATTTATTGACAACACCCACTGTGCATCAGCTGCACTCTGTCTATGCAACCTTAACTCAGCAACTTTGCAGCTGCTTGACTAACTGCACTTTGTTGCCATTAGTCTGCGGCTTTAGTTTCAGCCCCGACTTCAGGTGGCCCGACTCCAGTCCGACTTGAGGCCCAAAGTGAGTCCCCAGAGCCCCCAGAGTTGATTTTGTTGACACTGCTAACGGATACTGGCTGGGATGTTGGCTCAGCTGCATAATGCAATCCTTTTGCCCAGTCACTTATCAGTCATTTGCGAGAGCTGCTTTTCTTTTGGCCTTTAGTGGTTGCTGTTTTTGTGGCTGGACGTGTACCTTGCATAATATTCAAACGTGAGAAAATGTTTAGCAAAAAAAGTGTGAGAGATACTCAATGGAGCGGATAGGTGTCGGCGTCGCAAGTATCGGGGGTAAGAGTGGGTTTCATTATGCGATTGCTCGCATGTGGAGCAGCACACTAAGCGGCCAAAAGACGAGCACGTCGTGATGACGCTACCGATAATCATGATGTAATGAGCTCGGGTTTGCTTTTTGGGAAAGTGCCCTAATGGCCACACCGACCACAGACCACCTCAGCACGCATCGACCGCATTGAAGACCCAAACCCTAAACCAGCTCTTCTTTTTTCTCGACTTATTACAGCTCACCGACGAGGTGGTTCGCAAGAAGACCGAATATCAGAAACATTTGGAAGGCTACAAGGCTCTGCGCACGCGCTTCGAGGAGCACTATATTAAAGGTAATTTACTTTTGAATCAGATCCGGATTGTGCCTGCTACATAAACCCTAATTTCACGTGCAGCTCCTGGACGCAGTGGCCGCAAACTGGACGATGTCCGGGACAAGTATCAGAAGGCCTGCCGCAAACTGCATCTCACACACAACGAGTACGTGCTGTCCATCACGGAAGCCATCGAAGTGGAGAAGGATTTCCGCACAGTTCTGCTGCCAGGTCTCCTCGAGCATCAGCAGTCCGTCCAAGAGAGCTTCATCCTGCTGTGGCGCAACATCTTGCAGGAGGCGGCCCAGTACGGAGATCTCACAGCCGACAAGTACAAGGAGATACAAAAACGCATCGACACTGTGATAGGCAACATCAATCCGACGGAGGAGTATGGCGAGTTTACCGAGAAACACAAGTAGGTGGTCTTAAATATTTCCTAAATGATCTAGTATTATTAAAAACCCTTTTCCGCAGGACCTCCCCCACAACGCCACTGATTTTCCAATTTGATGAGACGCTCATCGAGGATATTCCCGGAAAACTTCAGTCTAGCACCTTAACCGTCGACAATCTTACGGTGGACTGGCTGCGAAACAGACTCTTGGAACTGGAGGGAGCGGTAAAGGACTGCCAGGAGAAGCAGCTGAAGATGATCGAGCATGTGAATGGAGGCTCGCCAGTGGCAAATGGAAGTATCATTTCCAACGGCAGCAATCACTCCAATGGCATTCAGTCCAACAAGGATAGTCTGTGGTTAGAAGCCTCTAAGATTAGTTATAGACCTTCGTATTAAACTATATTTTACTCCTAGCCGGCAATCAAAGGACCTGAATGCCCTGCGCTGCCAGGAGAAGCAGAAACAGAAACTGGTGGACATGATCAAGTGCGCCCTGAACGAGGTGGGTTGCGAGGAGTTGCCCTCCGGATGCGATGATCACCTGACCCTTGAGCAGAACTTTATCGAAAACGGCTACAACAACGACCAGCAGGTTGGTTTCCTTTCAACAGATTCCTTTAGGTTTTGGGCATTTTTAGTCTGTCGCTTACTGGTTATTGGTAAAAACTAATTAACTGTAACGAAACCATTTCTTTCTCTCTGGATGCTGCCCTCTGACCATACCATATACCACATTCCAAACACACCATTTCCATTACCATTAAAACATCCCAAAACTTAACTCAACACTTGCCAATGGAGCAGCGCTCCAACTCCACCAGCTCTCCAGGGCTGGGCATCATGAACGAGCTGATGCGGCGCGGTGGGGTCTTGACCCTCCTGCGCGGTAGGGGCCGTCACTTTAAGAGGAAGTCCACGCCCCAGCCGGCCACACCGATGACCCGATCCCGTCAAGGACGATTCAACAAAATGCAACCACGCTCCCAGAGCCTCGGATCCTTGTCGGTAATTAGGAATGGGGATGCGCAAAGTCCTGCACGTTACGAGACCATTACTAACCATCCCCTGCGTCTGGCGGCCAGTGTCCATTACTTGGGCGAGGAGATACCGCTGAGTGCCACGCCTCCCGCCCTGCCACGCCTTCGTCGCACCCAGTGTTCCATGTTGTGTTTGGGCGAGGACGAAGAGCCTCTGCCGGAGGCTGAACCCGCTAAAAATGTTGTTGTTGTTGCCTCGCCCGCCCCGCTCACCAAGCTAACCGCCGCAGTTCTTACTAACACTAACAACAATCACATATACGCGGATCTGGAGCTAAGTAGGAAGATGCAGTCCACTCCCGAAAGCGATGACGAGGAAGTGGAGGAGCCGCCGGCCAAAGGGGAACGAGTTCAAATAGAAATTAACCACAATCAGCCGGTTCCACAGAACTCTATTGACGCCCATCTAGACAGGATCGACGAGCTGAATCGCATGTTGGACGATCGCCTGAAGCGAAACCTTCATCCTGGCGATGATGATGTAAATGCCATAGAGAGTGCCGAAGAGGGTCAAGTGCAAAAGCACAACCTGGCCAAGGATGCCGACACCCACACCAAACGCAGTTCCAGCTCCAGTTCGGAGTGCCGCTCCTCCCAGCTCAGTTCCAAGGAAATTGGTCACTCCAAGAAGCGTTCTCTATCCTTCACCCAGAAATCAATCAGCAATATTCTTAGCAATCTCAAGGAGTTCTCCAAGAGCCCTCTGGTGCGGATGAGCAAAGCCACCACCCTGAATGAGGAACAGGATGTGGAGAAGCATCCGCCCAGCCAGCATTCCAGCAGCAGCGACTGCCAGGCCAACACCAGCAGCTCCAGTAGCCAAAGCTCGAGCAATAACAATAATAACAATACCAACAACAGTAGCAATCACAACGCCTCTCAGTCCACGATCATCACGAGCACCATTACCACAACTATCACAACCACGACAACGACTTCGACGCCGTCCAAGGAAACCTCAAGACTGAAATTCAAAGTGCCGAAGATCCAGAAGAAATCGAAAGCCATTCGCAACACATTCCGCTCCAAGCTGCTAAACTTCCAGCTGAAGAGGTCGAAGCCCTGCAAACAGTGCACCAAAAGGCGCCGCATCCATCCCAGCAAGAGTGTCTTCGATTTTGCCCGGGAGTTCGAGATGGAGAACCCCGAAGGATCAGGCTCCAACGATGACCAATTTTGCAATTGTCCACCACCGGAGCCGAAGGTAAAGCACTCCGTCCAAATAACCGGCCACAAGGAGCGACCTTTCGAGTCCAGTTCCGGGGAGGTGGAGGAGCATGAGGACCACGATCCGGATAACGATGATTCTGGCAGCGACGATGTCCTCAGCATGAAGGATCACTGCTACTGTGTGCCCAGCCTGGCGGCCAGTGTGAGTTCCTCGTATCCGCATCCGTAGCAGTATCCGCATTCGTATCCGTATCCGTATCCGTACCCGAGATGCTATATAAAAACAGCACCCCACTGCATCGAGCTACCATATCTAAGTGAAACTGGGCGCCATGTGGCGCCACCCCACAGAAAATGCATCTCAAGCATGCCTCTTCAATCTGCATGTTTGATTGATTGTGCATGTTCAACGCTCACGTCCACATTCAATATTGAAAGCATGCGGTGGAAAGAGCTTTTTATCAAGAGATTCAAAAATAAAACACAGGGTGACCTTATAATGAAATCGATGGTGGGGTATCTTGGGTATTCAAACGACTAGACTTTAAAATGATTTTCAATATCTAGAAATAGTAATTTCTCAAGTAACATAGGGTAACATTTGTAATCAAAAAACTTAAAGTTAAGTACCAAAATAGACTATAGTTCCAACAAGGGTATTCGAATACAGACTTTTCGAAAAAGACTTTCACCCTTCCAATTGCTAAAATTACTTGTGCGTACCAGAGAGAAGGAGAACACATCCGTGAGATACAAGTTCAGGCAAGAGCATAAAACGTTTATATCTTTTCGTTCTCACTGATCTTTCGAGTGGTTTGGAAACCGAACATCAGTCGCCATTAACCCAGTCCATTGAAATGTTTGGCGTCTTTTTGGCCAGGGATAAGTTGGAAGTCATTTTTGTGTTTATTTCTGAGTTCGGAGGAGGCATTTGCGCAAGTTTAAGTAGATTTCCTGGGTGGATGGTCATTCAATCATGAGCAGCACCGCTTCCGGACACAGCAGCAACTACGCCGGAGCCGAGGGCGGGGGCATCTTCGAGACAATTGTCTTTGCCGGTCGCCCCGTGCCGCCGGCCCGAAAGAAGCGGCCCAAATCCAAACTGTTTGTGAGTCACCCGAAGCGACAACCTTGAACGTTGAGCAATGATCCATATTTTTCACATCGGTGTAGTAACAGCAATATATATATTATCATTCTATATGCCTTTATTTACAGTATTTAATTTATAATTTGCCTGTGTATCTTGTTTGTGAGGATGTTGCAATTCCGTCAGAGGCGATTGCACCCACGCATTTCCGTTCCCCTTTTTGGAAATGCGGGAATGGCGTGTTAACCGATTTCGTTTCTGTTTTATTTTCCCACATTTCACCAGCTTGTCTTTTTTGCATGCCTCCACTAATCTTTCGGCTAAGAGAGGAGAAAAGATTTGCTAATTGTTCCGACTCTTGCAGATATCGCTCTCCACGAATCGACCGCTCTACGAGGAGGAATGGTTCCACGGCGTTCTGCCTCGCGAGGAAGTGGTCCGGCTCTTGAACAACGATGGCGACTTCCTGGTCCGTGAAACCATCCGCAACGAGGAGAGCCAAATCGTACTGAGTGTCTGCTGGAACGGCCACAAGCACTTCATTGTCCAGACCACCGGAGAGGGCAATTTCCGATTCGAAGGTCCACCCTTTGCCAGCATCCAGGAGCTGATCATGCATCAGTATCACTCCGAGTTGCCCGTCACCGTCAAGTCCGGAGCCATACTCCGGCGACCAGTTTGTCGAGAACGCTGGGAATTAAGCAACGATGATGTGGTGTTGCTGGAAAGGATTGGAAGGGTAAGCTCTTTTCTTAATGCCATGAATCTCATTTTAAAATCCATCTTTATTTTTAGGGCAACTTTGGAGATGTTTACAAAGCCAAGCTTAAGTCCACAAAGCTGGACGTGGCTGTAAAAACCTGCAGGATGACCCTGCCTGATGAACAGAAACGGAAATTCCTTCAAGAGGGTCGCATCCTTAAGCAATACGATCATCCTAATATCGTTAAGCTTATTGGCATTTGTGTGCAAAAGCAGCCGATAATGATTGTCATGGAATTGGTGCTGGGTAGGTTCTTCTAAATATTAAATCAATTGAAATATTTAATAACTTCCTTAAATATTCATCTTTTCAGGTGGTTCCTTGCTTACCTATTTGCGTAAGAACTCCAATGGCCTCTCCACCCGCCAACAGATGGGAATGTGCCGAGATGCTGCTGCTGGTAAGTGGGATTAAATCTTTGGATTAAACCATAACTACAAGATAGAGTGTCTTTATAGGCATGCGATATCTAGAGTCGAAGAACTGCATTCACCGAGATTTGGCGGCGCGGAATTGTCTGGTCGATCTGGAGCACAGTGTTAAGATTTCTGATTTTGGAATGTCACGCGAAGAAGAGGAATATATAGGTAAGATACCCAGATACTAAAGGTGGATAAACAATATTAAAAATATTCTTTTAAAACAGTTTCCGATGGCATGAAACAAATCCCCGTAAAATGGACCGCCCCAGAGGCTTTGAACTTCGGAAAGTACACCTCCCTGTGCGATGTTTGGTCCTACGGCATATTGATGTGGGAGATCTTCTCCAAGGGCGACACTCCCTACTCCGGCATGAGTAATTCAAGAGCGAGGGAGCGCATTGATACCGGTAAGGATGTCTGATTACCATTGGACTATCCATGATTTTAATTGGGAATTTGTTTCAGAAGGATATCGCATGCCAACGCCAGAAAATACGCCGCCGGAAATGTACAGGCTGATGCTTAAATGCTGGGCCGCCGATGCCGAGTCCCGGCCGCATTTCGATGAAATCTACAATGTGGTCGATGCCCTGATCCTGCGCCTGGACAACAGCCACTGAGATCCTGTGCATTAGCAGCTACATAAATGTATATCGGCAACACTTAGCATACTCAACGTAGGTTTAGTCAGCGCTTTTAAAGTACGTTACGTCCGAGGACTTCACAACGAGATGCCTGTATTTATGAGATACCATTTACTTATATACATTTTACCACATAAACGATATTTATATAGAAACATATACATACATATATATTTTCTAGCCATGTAAATGTAAATTTCGATACAATATGATATGTACTGTGTGTGTATGCTTGACTGAAGAAAGTATGTAATGAATCCTTAATGTGCCAAAAACCGCGAGAAGATCTTTAAAAATGATGGGAAATTATAGTGTGTGTCTGCTTGAAGAACTGCATCGTAGCCTAAGCTCATGAATTTATATTTTTAGTTGTTTATATTTTAGTTATCGAAGCGCCAAGCTTGCGTATTTGTAAATTATTCAATCCTTACGTTGGTCAATTCGTTTTTAGCATCTGTATTTTATGTATATTTATTTACGCCTAATTTACGTTTCTACTTCGACTACGATTATGTTTACACCATAAGTTAAAGCTTTAAGTTCTGCTGCGCTGCTGAAGTGAATAAAATCATATGTGTACTATATACAAGGTCTACAAAAATGTCTATGAGTCGGCACTGTCGCCCAGAGCGAGGGGAACGTCCGAGAAGTTCACTTTGGTGTAGAACTTCTTCAGCTCGTTTTTCAGCTGGAGACTGTGTGTCCAGTCCACGGTCTCGCAAACGACTTTCACCTCCACGGTGTACACATCCCGGAGCCAGGCCCGCTCATGCATAATGTCCTTGATGGAAACACCCACACGAACCAGCAGGGCGCACAGGTCGTTGATGCCGCCGGGACGATCGCTGACCTCCACATTGAACTTCACCAGACGGCCCTCGGCGGCCAATCCCCGCTCCAGACAGCGTCCGAACACTGTGGTGTCTATGTTGCCACCGCAGAGCAGCACCACAACTCTTTAAGGAAAAAGTAGTATTATGGTAATATGAAATAAAGTGTATCTTTAGTACTCACTTCTTGCCCTTCAACTCTTCCAGATGACCCGCCAAAATGGCCGCTAGTCCTGCACCTCCAGCGCCTTCCACCACGCACTTCTCCTCCTCCACCAGGCGGAGAATGGCAACGGCAATCCACTCCTCCTTGACCACCACCATGCGATCGATCAGAGGCATGGCCGTGGCATAGGCATTGTAGCCCACTTTCGGGACGGCCAGGCCATCAGCCAGCGTATTTTTAATGGGTGTGCTAATGGGCCCATTGTTTTCCATGGCCCTGGTAAAGCTGGCACACTTCTCCGACTCCACGCCCTGTAAACAAAAGAAGACATGTATTAGGAGCTACTAATTGTGACTAATAATACTCACAATAATCTTAGTTTTTGGGGACAAGGCCTTCACTGCTGTGGCAATGCCGGCTATGAGGCCACCGCCGCCCACTGGCACAATCACGGCATCCGGATCGGGTACTTGCTCCAGAATCTCCAGGCCAATAGTTCCCTGGCCGGCCATGATGTGTGGATGATCGTAACCATTCACGTAGAGCAATCCCTCCTCCCGGGACATTCGCATGGCCAGGGACTTGGCCTCTCCCATGTCGTTGCCCTCAACGATGACCCGAGCCTTGTAGTTTCTGCACTTTTGGATCTTCATGATGGGCGCCGCCTTGGGCATCACTACTGTCACTGGGATGTTCAGCTTCCAACCATGGTAGCTCAGGGCCTGGGCGTGGTTTCCCAGCGAGGCACTGATCACTCCGGTTCGCTTCTGTTCCTCGGTCAAGGAGAGCAGGGCATAGCGTGCTCCACGCTCCTTGAAGCTGTCGGATGGATGCATGAAGTGTGTTAGTCACATGTCGATCACAATATTAAATATCAATTAGCAACAGTTATTAATTAGCACCATCGAACCATATCAGCCAATTTAGGGGCTATCTTATCGGATTATTTTCTGCCAAAATGTATCACCAAAATTTTGTCGTAATAATAGAAACGTCGCGCGCATAAAAAATTATTATTCAACTGTCAACAAACAACGTCGTAGGAAAGGCAAAGATCACAAGATTCTTAATCAGTAGACGGAAATTTTGTCTCCCAGACATTATTGATTAATATATAGTACATTTTATAATAAATAAATCAATACAAACAATAATGATGCCGATCTGACAGATGCACTTTGCACTTATACTCTCATTTGTCAATAAATGGAATAATCTGAGTTTCAGCACTTGAATTAAATGTGCTCTAATTAAAAATATTAAGAAAGGCTTTCAAAATGATGAAATTAAAACGTTAACTTGGATAACATACTAACAATTCTAAAATTAAACTTTCTTATCAAATGCTATCAAGATTTTATGGATCCTTGCCAATAAATAATGTCGTCATATCCTAGCTAACATTTTTATGATATTTTAGACTTTCAAATCCATAACATTAGGGCTTTCAAATCTACATAATTTTTTAAAAATTGTTGACTAACCTGCCAGTGTACTGTAGGAAATCCTTTTTCAAATACAATTCCATGCCATATAGATCCGAAGAGGTGGATTTCTGAAATTAATTTAAATTAAAAAAAAACTACAAATTATGAAGTGTAAGATATTTAAATACCGGACAAGGAGTACGTTCCACACCGCCTTTAATTAGAAAGGCAGCCGAGGTGACATCGTGAAAGGAGATCCTCTGGGGACGCTCCGGATCGCAGAAGGGATCTACGATTTCCTCAACGCCTCCGGAAACATGTCTGGGCCTCTTCAGGGCCTCCAGCTTTACATTGACAGCGGTGCCATTTGTTTTGGGAACTGGTGGACTGGGGTTTACCGAGCCATTTGTTGCTTCTTTGGGTAATTCCGTTTTCGCCGACTGGGACATGGTTAGTTGAATAAAATCCTCCGGTTCTCCTAGGAATGCCGTCGATCACCGCTCGTCAAATACTGTTAGCTGCGACAAATGTCGGTACTGCTATATATAGGAGAATCGATGAGGAGACTCTATAAACGAACTGGGATTTCGTAAAAACGGCACCTTTGCGTTTCAATTGCGGCCTGGTCACTTTATGGGGCCTGGCCTGACGACGGGCTGATAAGAGCACCAGCAAGCGAAACAAAAACAACGATAACGTTTCGTTTGTACCTATTTTTCTTCTTTTTTTCGAAATATCATCAAAACTCTTCTCGATTTGAAAACCAGACGAAAATACTTGTATCTCGAATGCGGGTCAAAATCGATAAGAAATTGGTAGAAAATACAATGGAAAGTTTTTGAAAAATTTAAATTCTAGAAGCATTTCATTTTATTTGAATACAAAAAATACTTAAACAACCTTATATGTTGTTTAAATTTATAAATATATATCAAAATATTATTTTAAAAAAACACTTTTTGAAGAACTTTGGAACATCCCGCACGAGCCCCCAAAATGTTGTCTTTGGGGTAATAAACACAGCGATAAGGTGTCAATGTGTATGTAGGTAGACCCTCTAATTATTGCCAAAATAACAAGCCTTATCTAATCCGTGGTAAAACAATTGATAAGAGATGCCAGAACCAAAACAACAAAAAAGGATCTAGGGATTAAAGGCCAGCCAATTGGCCGGGTTGGTCACCGTCATTTGCTCCACTTGCTCCACAGTGGCTCCGCGAGCAAACATCCGTGGTAGGATGTTGGTGTAGATGTGATGATAGCCATGACCGCCATAGGATGTCTAAAAATATCCAGATATTTACCAAAAACAATACATATTATTTAGCTAATTTTAGACAAACCAATCGATGTTTTGTGTGAATGTCGTGGGACATGAGCACCTTGTCCACCAGTCCCTCATTGATTAGCTTCATTAGATTGTCGATGCGCTGTCCATCGGAGATCATGTCCACGCTGGTATTGAGCTGATAGAAGGAGCATTCGGTGCCAAAGAGATCATACTGGATATAGCAGCCCAGCTTGGCAAACTCCAGCAGCTCATCAACGTCGAAAATAGTGCCTAGAGAATCATAATTAGGGGGATTAGGACCAAAAGACTGGGAGTACTCACGATCCAAGTGAGACATCACACATTTGTCAGCACGTCCACCCGCCTCCAGATACAGTCTCATGATCTCGAAGGGAGCTTTGGAGACGCGATGTGGATGCATGGAAACCCCACAGCCCAGTACTTCTTGAATCTCTCCAGCAGCCTTAATGCAATGTTTCTCAAAATCTAGAAAATAACAGTCACTATAACAGTAAGTATATTTAATATAATATTTACCATGAATGGGATAAACACTGGCCACCTCGCCAATGAACCCACACTTGACCATCTTTCCGTTGACCTCTAGGCCGGTAATAATATCCTTGGAGTACAAATCACTTAATTGCTCCACAGTTAAGCTGGCATGTCTAGCATCCTGCATGGCATGGATGTAGTGTCCAGTTCCGGCAATAAAATGCACACCAGTGCTCTTGGCCAGCTCCACAATGAATTCCAGGTTGCGCTTTAGACCGTAGCTGCTGTTTTCCACAATACTGCCACCACCGTGCTTTTTGTACAGAAGAATATCCTTTTTGGCCGCCTCCAGAGCCTCCTCGTCGTAGAAACGAACGTTTTCCTTGCTGGAATAGGGATACAATCGCACATAGCCGAGAGTGGACATACTGATCTTGGCTTTCAGTTCACTCTCAAAGTCTGGAGGAGGTGGACGGTAAAAGTGCTCGAAATCGAGAGCCACATGCTCGTGGGTCAAAGTACGCCCCAAAAGGTTGGGGGTAATAGACCCCAGAACTAAAAATAGAAGTGGAAAATTTATGCCAAACTAAGATAAGGCCAAGATTCGCTCTTATCTTGTTCTCACCGGTCTGTACTGTTGACATGTTTGCAAAGTGGGTCAAGTTATGAATTTTTAATAAATGTTTTTATTTTTTAAGAACTCCGAATACGATGCTATCGCCTCGAAAGCCCGTGGAGAACTGATCTTATAGAGCTCAGAATCGGGTTTATTGTGGAGTTTACGAACAAGAGATAAACATTTACAATCGTCAAGATTGGATCCCCTCGAGCTCCTTATCAAGAAAACATTTTATTGCATTTGCCGAGGGATGCATTAGCAACTGCTTTAATTTGTTGATCGCTTCCATTAGCTCTTATTGAATAAAATTAAAGTCAATGCCCAAATGCTAAACAAGATCAGGTGATCTCCACAATATCCCCCCTTCTAGTAAAACGCACATTTTTATATTTCTCAGAATAATTCTCTTTATTAGTTCCATTTCTTTCCGTGTTTTGTATTTTCTTTTTAATTTTACTTAGGTTTAAGTTTATCAGTTTTAGCGATTTCTCATTTATCAGATACACATATGCGTGTATATATAGTCTATATATATACTCATTTTCTTAAGATATATTTTTATCTGTTATTTTTACGACATTGCTGCTGTTCTCTTTAAACTTTTATATCTTGTATATATATATATATATATTTTCTGTTCAATTTGTCTTAGATCTAAGCATTCATCATAGATTTATGTACCATTCGCGACGAATCTGCCAAATATTGTAATTATTCTTTTTTTTATATCAACTTTTGTTGGTTTTACAATTCGTTTTTAGAGAGTTTTTAAGTTTAAATTGTCGAATGATCAAAATATTATTATTGTTTTGCAATCATTACGAATTGGTTAAATATTTTGTTTTATTTTTTAAATGATCATAACGAAAAAGCACACAAAAATGTTTATTACTTTTAATTGTTGTGTTTAGGTAGTTACTGAGTTTTACTTTTGAACACTTGCTGTGACTTTCATTTAGGTTATACCACTAACCATACAGCATATAGACAACCCATTTCATACAACGAAAATGGACGCGAAAATTTCTTGCTACAGGCCCCAGCAGGCCCCAGAGCGGATTTCTTACGCTCTCTTACGCTCATCGTTCGTTCATCTTACGCTCATTCTCGCATTAAATGTTTTCTGTTTCTCAGTCTCTAAACGGAGCGCGATGAAGAAGGTTGGCCTGCGCTTCGGTTGATCTTTGTATGTATGCGTGTCACACATTCACATACATGGGTGTATGTGTGCGTGCGATTTCGTTTCGAAGCCAGCGCACAAAATTTTGATTTTTCTTACTTTTAAGGCTTGCTACCCTAACAAAATTCGGGTATTCGTTATTTGATGAAATGACGAAAGAAATTATATTATTTTTGTATTATATTTTTTATTATTTCAGCATACATTTTTAATTTATTTAGGAATAAGATTAAGTGTTAGTAGTAAAATGTTTTCTGTATATATATTTTTACGAATCATTAAAAATCAATATACTGAGAAAGTGTCAGAGTATATTTCGGTCGGAGTCACTTAAAGCGCCGTTTGCTTTTAAGTTTTTGTTGTTCTGCAAGAGGCTTGTGCATGCCTACTCTAACGATGGAATGATTTTTAGGGGAGGGTGAAGACACGAAAACAGCTGATGGACTTGTTTACCTTTTTTGTTTACAATTTTTCAGGCACTTGTTATTATTTTGGGTTATTGTGAGATTTAATTAAATTATTGTCGTTAATTTAATAATTTCCTTATATATATTTCCTTATATATAATAACTTTAAAAAGTAATTTAATTCTTCACCCGTCTTCACCCTCCCCTAAAAATCATTCCATCGTTAGAGTAGGCATGCACAAGCCTCTTGCAGAACAACAAAAACTTAAAAGCAAACGGCGCTTTAAGTGACTCCGACCGAAATATACTCTGACACTTTCTCAGTATATTGATTTTTAATGATTCGTAAAAATATATATACAGAAAACATTTTACTACTAACACTTAATCTTATTCCTAAATAAATTAAAAATGTATGCTGAAATAATAAAAAATATAATACAAAAATAATATAATTTCTTTCGTCATTTCATCAAATAACGAATACCCGAATTTTGTTAGGGTAGCAAGCCTTAAAAGTAAGAAAAATCAAAATTTTGTGCGCTGGCTTCGAAACGAAATCGCACGCACACATACACCCATGTATGTGAATGTGTGACACGCATACATACAAAGATCAACCGAAGCGCAGGCCAACCTTCTTCATCGCGCTCCGTTTAGAGACTGAGAAACAGAAAACATTTATTGCGAGAATGAGCGTAAGATGAACGAACGATGAGCGTAAGAGAGCGTAAGAAATCCGCTCTGGGGCCTGTCGCAAGAAATTTTCGCGTCCATTTTCGTTGTATGAAATGGGTTGTCTATATGCTGTATGGTTAGTGGTTATACATAACTATTGCATGAAGAGCGAACAAACCATTCTGAAACAGATCCCAAAAATCAATATATCATTACAAACCATTTACGCCCTTCAACTTTTCTACACTAATTAGCACCTTGGCTTGGCTGGGGCCTTGATGGGGTTTCGGTTTTAAAAAAGCAAATAAGAACATCTGCCGAAAGGTTCTCCAAGCAAATAATCGAAAAAAATAAAACATGCAATTGTTTTAAAAATTATTTAATCGCTTTTATTGAACATTATCGAGTTAGATATATAAATTTTGAAGTTTATATTGTTCTCTTTGTTACGTGTCTCTTTCAAATTTGTTGTGGTTGCTCTTGTATCTTCTAGTTTATTGTATTTGTTTATGCATTTGTTTAAGTTTAATTAAAATAGTTGTTGCTCTTATATACGCCCGGATCTGAGGCTCATATATAGGTATATGTATATCTATTTCTATTTAGATTTTCTAGCTTTACCGTTTCTGTGTTAAATATATGTTCACTGTTTCCCACTTATTCCCCATCTGGCTGCAACTATCCCTTCGACGCTTTTAATTACAATTACACATTAGTACAATATTTATATATGCATAAAGTTTTTTTTAGATATTGGATGCATTCAAGTTCAGTATATCCCATTCATACGCTTACATCGACTAATTTCGTTTCGTTTCCATTTCTTTTTTGATTTCAACAAAACACTTTACACTTCATATCCAAAGTAAGAATCAAACAAACATCGAATTCGGCTAGCAATAGCAAAGAAATTAATTAACACAAATCAATTTTGGCGGAGAAAGATCTGGGAGTAGGATTATTATACTGGGGCTTTTGGGGGGGACGGGCTAGGGATTGGTACCTTGTGTGTGTTTGTGTTTATGTTGTTTGTTAAGCTTATAAGCGCAAAAGTGACTAAGAGGTGCACACAACAAAAATAATATTTATTTTGGTAATATTAGAGAATTACTAGAATTAACGCTGCTGGTTATTAATCATTACACAAGCTTGTTCAGCTTAATTATACTTATTATTTGCCTTTTCACTTTTTATTCGTTCTTTAAATATATATTTATAAACAAAATTTCAACTAAAAGCACACTAAAGCATTGTAAAAATTATTGTAAAAAGAAACCTACAACTATGCAAAAAATAAAGAACTTATTTGCATTGTTTTTTAAAAATTAAATCAATTTAAATTGTATTTTTTGTATAATTCTTAACCAACTTCCGTGCGTACAAAGATATAAAATCAGTTTTTAAATTTTAAAACGTTATTAAACTTGTTCCATATATATTTTTTTTAAAATTCTCCCCATTTTCTGTGTCTGTGTGTGTATACAATTTTACTAATTAATTTTTAAGTCGTTAATGTATAAAATTATGATATACGTATATGTAAAGATTTAATTTATGCATTATTGTGGAAAAATTAAAATTAAAATGACATTTTGCTGTTCTTGGTTTTTTAGTTATAGATTTAATTTTTTGCAGTTGCGATTTGTATTCGTCTCTGTACAAATAGTTTGCTTCTCTTTAGTTTAAAAATTATATTGAAGATTTTTAAAGATTTCGGTTTTCATCGCTGATTTTGTACAGTTCAATTGTTTTGACTAAACACACCCTATGGTTGGACTTTGACTCTCGGGAATCTCTCAAAGCAGTGACCCTTGTAGCCCCCCAGAGATTCCCATTCCATCGATCAACGGGTAATTAGAAATGCCACCAATAATCTCGGGGCATCGCTAGTTAGTGCTGATCTCCCAGGACAATCGCAGCAAACCATCTGACAGATAGACTGGATAGGTTGGTTTAAGGCGAGTTTAGTGTTGGCTTTTTATTTTTTGCACCTGCTGCGAAACGATTTTATTCAGTTCTGTGCCAAATATGCATATAGGATTTGTTGGTCGTGTGAACATTTTTTTGTTGTTGTTTAATAATAGAATCAAAATTTATTGCAATATTTCCTTTTGGTTATAGATAAGTTTAGTTTTACTTAAATTTTTGTTTGATTTTTTTTTGTTAATTTTTTTGTTTTGTATATTTTGTTTAAGGGGGTTAACAACACAATTTATGTCTACATTTAAATTTATTTGCATAGATGTACTTGGTTTTGAATAAAAGTTTAAATTATGTACTACAAAATGAAGAAAGCAAAAATTAAAAGGTTTTTTGTTTTTGTTGTGTACGCATGTGTTTTTTTAATACAAACAAAGAAAAACTAAATAACGCTTAAAGCAATAAAAACCTAAAGACGAACCATATATATTTATTGTATTTTTTGCATTTTTTTTTTTTGTTAAATTTTCTCTTGTTATCCCTATATATATATATAGAATATGTGTTTTTTTTGTAATCTGGTTTTATGTTTTTTTTCTCTTTTATGTGCATATACCCAAAGAAAATATTGATACGCGTGTGTATGCGGCACACCATTTACATATCCTACCATATATATAGACGCAGATTTAGTTAATATTACTCATAATATATATATGCAATTCATCGAAAATCAAAAATCAAAATCAATTCAATTTTATGTTAGACGGGGACAGGGAGGGGCAAATATTAAACGAAGAAAAAAACGCCGCTTGCACTGCATTCGCCTGCTTTGATTCACTAATTAATCATAATTATATTTATATCTCTATGTATAGGGGGGGGTGGAGTGGTTGGCTCCAAGTTGCTTTACACTACACGCGCTTCTCTCTCTCCCTCTAAACGGTTTTCTCGCTCGCTCGAAACACTCGCCCATTATCTTTAAAGTGGTCGTGGCTCTAAGCAAATTGTTAAAGGAGCTCTACACAATTGCGTTATTCTTGGTTTCATTTCTTAATGTTTTTTTTTTACATTTTTTTTTTGTGGTGAGGGTTTTTGTTTTTTTACGCTTAATTTTGCAAATTTTTTTTGTTTTTTTTTCTTTCCTTTCTTTTAATACATATACATAATTAATTAATATATATTTGTTTTTTGTTTTTTTTTATACTTTCATTAGTAGCTGATAATTAAGAATTGAGAAAGAGTTGGTTTCTTGGTTTTGTATGTGAATTTGGGTTTGTTATAAATTTCTTATCAATTTCTTGGTTTTTTTAGCATTCATATTATTTTTGTATTTTGTATTGTTTTTTTGTTGTTTATTTAATACACTCCAACATATTACAAAAACAAATGACACACATCGTCTTACTTAAAAGTTGTTTGCGTTGTATGGTAAACTTGAAACAATGGTTGTTGTTGTTGTGTGCTTGTTGTCGTTGTAATTGTGGGGCGGTGTGTGTTGGGAGTGTTTTTCTTTTTTCAATATTAAATACAAACAATTTTGAATTGTATTTTGGAATAACAAAACATTTCAACGTTAGGCGATATAGGCGGCGGTGGATCTTTTTCAAAGAGTTCCTCCTCTTAGCCCAGCTCAGCAGACAATCGTGTGGTGGCGGCGGCATTGTAGTTGAAGTTCCTGCGCGGATGTTGTCTTCTCTGCACCTGTTGGTGTTGTTGTTGTTGTTGCTGATGCAATTGCTGTTGTTTTACTTGCTAACGCTGTTACGCGTCTGGTTCAAGATGATGTACAAAGGTGTTAACTGCCGAACTGCTGCCTCCTGTTGGCTCGCTGGACACGTTGATTGAGCATCGAAATTGTTGTTCCAGTTGTTGCTGTATTTGTTGCGGGGTTTTTGGTTATCGTTTCTCTGTACTATTGTTGCTTGCCTTTGCTGTTTACATTATAATTACATTACAATTACAGTTTATATCGATTTATAGGTATTACTCTCTGTGTTGTGTGTAAGTGTGGGCATGGATGTGTGTGGCTGGTGTATGGTCGTGTATGAGTGTGTTTGGTGTTTTTTTTTTATGCTCCTTGCTGCTCTTTCTGCTGTTGTTGTTGTTGTTGCTGATTTCTTGTTATAGCGTAGCATATTATATACTCTTATGATGTGTAGTTGTTGGTTATTATCATTCTACGGCTACTGTTACTGTTACTGTTACTGGCACAATATCAAAATTCAAATCTTTTGAATTTTCTCGCCAACGACAACCGGATTGTTGCGTCGGATCTCTTGTGCGCCATGCTCTCTATAATCGAATGTGCAGTTATGTTTATCAGAATAACGGTGCACGGCGCAGTAAAGACCGCCGCAGCGACACTGGAAACCTAAAATATTAAAATTAGTTGATTAGAAATCTTAAATTTTTGAATAAAAATATCAATCTGACTTACCGGTCAGGCCAACCTTCTTGCGGCATTCACCACATCGGTTCTTCTTCTTCTTGGCATCCTTATCGTCCTCCTTGTCCTTGTCGTCCTCCTCGTTGGCGGAGGCGGCTGCTTGTGTGGAAGTGTTTGGACCAGTCGCCGATGTGATGGCTTCGCTATTGACTTTGGCAGCAGCGGCGGCTTCGTCGGTTATTTTCTATAGAAATGGAAACAGATTTTAGTCCCAAACGTGCCACAAACATCACATGACTTTAAAAGCCATTTCCTATTCCCGTCTACGAGAGTGCACAACTGCGATCGAATTCTTCGAAAAAGAACTAAATATCTATCTACTATTGTTTTTATCTATTTTAGAAGCTTTAGTAGTCTCTACCATTTCGAACGCAACTGTACATTCTCGTCCTCCTCCTCGAACTGCATTTCAAAAGCCTTGAAGGTATTTTTCTTTTTAGTACATGTATTTCTTTCTATTTTTTCTAGTTTTATTAAAGAAAATGATTTAGACTGGGGCTGTTTGGCTGTTCTGTGTGATGCTGTATAGTATATTGTTGAGTTTGGTGTCTCATCTTTTGGTATTTTGGCGGTGGTTTCGCCTGGGCGCACCGCCAAAAATTCCCAGCCAATGGCGGAGAGAGAGCACGAGTGTGGATGGATCTCTGATTTGTGGCTCAGGGTTTGAGGCGGAGGTGCAAGGTGGGAAAAAGTGTACTGTAATTGTTTACCCTCTTCTTTGCTATTGACCCTTCAACAACTGCACCACCTTTGTTCGGCGGACTAGGAGATACCTCTCCTTCGTCACCACCATCAGCCGACACCTTCGGGGAAGATGGATCACGGGGTCGCTTCACGCTTTTCTCTAACTGCGGCTGATCCTTCTCGCCAGGATTCTCCGGCTGGTCGCCGCCATCAGCTTCTGGCTTTTCCATGGCTCTGCCGCTCATGGGGGACTAAAGGGGTTGTTGCTATCGAGCTAGTTGTGGCCTTCTTTCCCAACCCTGCCTTCTTGCGCGGCGCTACACCCGCGGCCTTAGGTCGCTCACCCAGCTGGATGGTGCTGGAAGCACTGCCTCCCGACTTTTTGGCCGACTTTGCCTTGAACTTGACACTCTTGATCGGTCCGCCGCTCTTGGAGGTATTCTCCGCTACTACCGATTTGGGTTGGCTCAACCTGTTGGCCTTCCGGCGAAGGGCATCCGCCAGAGCAGATTTACCCGTAACCTTGGCTGGCTTTCCCACAACGTTGAGACGCAGGATGCGAGGAGCTTTCAAAGGATCTTCAATGCCCCCGATAGAGACTGGCTTTGGGTTCTCCTGCGAGATGCTTGCCAGGTCGTTGGCAATAGCCGCCAATGGTCCACCACCTTCTCGGCGCGTCCGGCTCCGCTTTAGCTTCTTGGTGCGCTTCTTCAACTGTAGTTCGCCGATCCGAGCTGATTTCTTAGTGCTTGTTGTGGATGGATATGTGTGCACGTTCACCGAGAACTTGACCCGTCTCTTCACGCTACTGGAGTCAGTAGCCTTGCCACCGCCCACTTTGCGGGTGGACAGCGAGCTCTTCTTAATGGCTGGGGGATAGGCTAGGCCTGTTTCTGTTGTGGAAACGGACCCGGATCCTGCGATGGGTATCGCTTCGTGCACAGCTGAAACTGCTGTCGCGGCACCAGGCACCTTGGCAGTAAGTCCAGAAGCGGCTGCGGTGGCGGTGGCTGTGGCCTTGCGAAGTGGGCGTGGCAGTGGGACAGGTGGGAGGTGGACGGCGGGGGCTTCTGCTTGAGCTGCAACATGGCATCGAAGTGGAGGAGAGAGGTGTAGGTGGGAAAGGAGGTTAGTGCGCCTGGCCGACGCCGGTATACCCAGTATGAGCAATCAGTACCCTTTACAGCTGCTGTCCCAGGGACCAGACCGAGCCCCAGCTGACCTGTGACCGGTCCGCTCAAGGTCGTCAATGCGCCTGCGACCGATCGCTTGGCCGATCCGCCCGAGACCGCAGTTCGTTTCCGTTTAGGACGGACCGCTACTACGGGCACGGCGGCTTCGTTGGCCTGGATTTCATTTCGGATTTTAGAGGCGATAGCTGAGACACGGCCCGTTTTTTTCTGCGATGTGGCACTATAGATAACCATCTCGGCGGACTTGGGATTTGAAATTTCGAATATTTTTAACCGGAAATTTTGGATCCTAGCCGAAATGTTTGCCAAACTAATGCCGAATGAAAATGTTCAGGGGTCTGACACTAAAATGAAACGGTAATATGATGGTTTATGGGATACAGGGCTGGCTTAGAAAAAGGCTTTCCAAGAAAATATTGTCAACAGATCTGAGAAAAATAAAATGAATTAAAAACCTGCTCTAAGATATCCCTGTATCCCTCATCACAATCGCACTTCAGTGTCAAATAAGGGGACTTTGTGTTTCGGAGGACCAAGGGACTTAACAAATGCACTTTACCTTATTTATGGATGATACAGTCTAACCAATTATTGGGACATCAGGTTCAACATCGACACACTATATATACACAGAGGTCAAGTTATATACGCAGGTCAACTTGTTCGACTCCCCTTACTTGTTCACACAGACAACCAATTGTTTCAACAATTTCACTTAAGATTACACAGAATTTATGTCCGAAAAACAAAAGAAACTGTCACTGACTGACTGACAAAAGAAAGCATACTAAAGCTAAAGTTAGCACTAAATGCTAAGCCTATGTAGTTTTTCGAATCAGTCGAGGGAGGCATCGATAACTCCACACCAACCCACATACCTCTTTGACATCGTTGTGTGGCTGTTGTAAGCTGGTGACTGTGGGCTGTGCGGTGTTGGTGATTGCAATGGCCGGACTGAATGTAGGGCTAGGTTGTGGGCTTGGAACTGAGACAGGTGTGCTGCTCACAGGTGGCTGTTGCTTTTTCCTAAGCGAGTCCTGCAATAACAAACATTAAGAATATTTTAGAGTATTACTTAAGAAGGAAGAATTCCACATCACTAACCTTATAGCATACGGAGCAGAGACCATCTGTGGCTGGGTTACCATAGAAGCCGCAACCGGAGCGGCACATGGGTTGCATTGGATTGGATTCACGTTCCATGGCTGAAGCGCCTGTGTTGTTGTTGTTGGTGCGGTTTCTTTTGTTTGATTTTCCGATTCGCGATTTGCTTATCCGCTTTTACTTTCGCCCAGCGAAGTTTCTTCGTCTGCTTCCTGCAGTGACTCCTTTCCTTCCTGCTATTTTCAGTCGTGGAAGCGTGCAATCGGCAACGTGCAACGCGCAACTTGCAACCAGCAACCAGAAACTATCAACTGTTGATCCGCCGTTGTTTTAACTGTTGTTTAATCAGTTCGTCCAATTATTAAGCTATGCTTGTGTTTGTTTCGCTTCGTGACTGCAGCAAATTATTGACGGTGCACGCTGCTAATAGAGATCAAATAAGAGAGGGGGGGTGGCAAGTTAGTAATGTATCAAAAATGTAGTCAAGGTATCAATATTTATTTTCTATTTGATAATCAAAGCAAACTAGTTATAAGAAGCTTAAATTTATTGAATTCTAACACTCACTTATGAGAAAATTAATTTTATTACTAATTTTGTTGCAAAACAATTAATTAAAAAAAAGCCTACATAAAGATTTACAAAAATATGGTTGGTGTACGACGCAGAAAAAAATATGTTGCAACAACAAAAGGCAACATGACAAGTAAAACTATGTTGTGTTTTTTTCTCCTCTTACTCTCTTCAAGGCTGTCAAGCATATCACTAACAAACACAAACACAGATGCAGATACATTCGCGAGAGCAAGATATAGAGAGAGCAAGTCAGGCCTAAACCAGTTTTCCCATCAAGCTGAATCCGAGAGTGAGTAGTGGCTGTAGTACGAGGTAGTAACCCGAAACGAGTTTGGTTTTATGTTTAATGAATTTAAAGCAGTCACACCTAACGGTTTCCAATAATAATCTACAATATTCCCCGAATATCCAATTGTTTTTATGACAATCGATTAAATCCATGTTATCGAGATCAGTTGATTTACTTTCTCAACCAAATAACAGTTCGACGTGCTGAGCTGCACGTCCATCACAGGGAGAGAGAGAGAGTTATGGGGCGAAATTCGAGATAAGTTCATATGTACATTCATGTTATGTATCTATGTACATATATTCATTTTATTATCATTTCTGAAAAAAAAACGAACTCCCCCATATAAATCTAAAAAAAAATCAATTTTGCTTATTCAATTAGTGACTAGATTTCTCCCTGTGTAGAAGCAAAGCTAAAGCGTAATGGCAAAATGGTAAAAGCCAAAAGCACCAAGGTGGAGATTGAACCATCAGTTACATGGCCAGCCAAGGAGAAGGAGGAAAGGAAAAGGGCGAGAGAGAAAAGGAGAACAAACACAATAACATTTACTGTTATTTTCAATGCGACGCTGGAGCTTGGGGCTTGAGGCCATATCAAAATGGGCACACGCTTTATTGTGTATGTGTGTGTGTTTGTGCGTTGCTGTTCTGTAACGAAAATTTGACCTTAGTGGTGGAAAACTAAGCTGCGCTGTAGCTGTCTGGTAAGCCAGGCTGGTAGGAATTACACACTAAATGGCTAATGTTTCTAACAGGGGGGTTCCCTGCGTTGCACAACTGTAGCCTCCTACACCACCACAAAACTTTTACCCAATACCCAAGCAATGGGAAAAAAAGAAGCAGCACCAATGGCCTCAGCGACTTTTACATTTACAACGTAGCATGGGGAGTTTTTTCATCAGCAGCAGCAGAGAGCACGAGCACAACATGGCAGTGGTGAGTTTGCTTGACTAACAGGATGGTGGGGGAGAATGGGGGCTATAAGTTGACATATGGAGGCGAGGCTAGGCGTCGCTGTCGCGTCGCAGTTGCTGCATGTGTTTACATTGGCATTGCATTTACAAACGTACATACATTTTGGTTGGCATGTGTGTACATCAGTATGTATATGGCAATGTACACTTTATACGCCCTGATACGAGGAGCGGAGCAAGTAGCAATAAATAATTTTTTGCTTTTCATTTTTCTACGCAAATTGTTCGAGTTGTGGCTGGCGCATAAAATTTATTTTGATTTATTGAGCTACTCTATACACACAACAAAGAAACCCGAGTGCAATGTACATACAAATCGTGTTTGTACGAATGTTTGGTGGATTTCCTGCTGTTGTCATTTAATTGCGAAGCCAAAACAGCTGTCTGTCACTCTGGCATCCCGATCCCCCAACCATCCACCATCCTCTCTCAACTCTGGCCCATACACACCACCACACACATAGGAGGTGGGCTAATCAAAATGTCAACAACAAAAGGAAAAAAATTCCCCACACAACAATTGGCAGCCAAGCCAAGGAGCAAGTGAGAAGCTCTCTATTTGGCTCTCTCTATGTAGAGAGTGGTATGTATGTTCTGATGTATATATGTACATCTCATATACATACGTACGTCAACAAGCACGCGCGGCTGCTGTGGCAGAATTGTTTTTTTTTTTATTATTTTCTACGAAATAAACAAGAATAAAAGCTGTGCATATGTATAGGAGTTTATTTATTTTGTTTTGTGCTCGCCTCTTCTGCCGCTCCCGTCTAACCCCCCATCCGCCCATCCGCCATCCGACGACCTCTGCTATTTTTAAGCGATTTCGTTTTGTTATCTGACGAGCGAGCGAGCTAGCAAGCTATCGAGCGAGCGTGTGTTTTCCTACGCTAAAGTGTTGGCCATTAAAGCAAATAGGAAATCATATGATTCTTTCGGGCCAACTTTATGACGACATCAGTCAGAGCGTGACGTCATGGTTTCAGTCAGTCAGCTTTCTCGACACTTCTGTGACCAGAGCATCGAAGAATGCCTAGTTTTAAGGCAAAATTGCGCACTTGTATGAGTTGCATAAGCGAATAATACAAAAAAATACAAAATAAAAAAAAAAAATGCAGTGCTAAGTGCGAAACAATTAGCAACAAAGAAAAAAAATTGGCGCGTGGTTGCCACCATTGCAAAAGGCATTATTATGCAAGTCTAGGGCGATAACAGAGGCAGAATTGAGGGGTTAAACGGCTTTAATGAAAATTCTCGAGTATTATGCATATTCATTGAGTAACCAAGTGACAACAATACACTATAGAAAAATAAAAATAGATCTTAGAAGTAAGGTATCTAGAAGTCGACTATCCTACACCCCACCCTACCTCTGATATCGAAATTGATAAAAATGAACAAACAACAGTAAACAAATTACACACGCACACACACACACACAGGTTAATGTGCTGTTGACCTGCATTCGGGCACAGTGAAGTTTACAAGAGAGGACGGCAGGCCCGAAGCGGAGATGACGATGATGGGCAGCATAAAAGGTAGGGAAGGTAAGAAACGAGAACTCTGGCGGCTGACTCACATTTGCATATTAATGAGCCAAGTGAGTGGAGCCAGCCCAACAACAACAACAACACCATATGCTGATGAAATGCAACAAAGAGACAAACATCAGCCAGCCAGCCCCGTCTCGGCGCGCATTGAATTATTAAACTTTATTAAAATGTGCGCGAAAGGATAGTAGAGAGAGAGGGCAACAAAGCAAGAACAAGCCAAGATGGCTGCTCAAACCAGAGCCGGGCTTGAAGCTTGGGCATGACGTCGTCTTCTGAAGAATGCGCAAAGCTTCCGGTGGTCTGTGCATTTTAAAGGAAACTTTACTCCAAGATACTATTATGTTCCTTTAAAAATCTTTCTGAAAATCAATCAATCTTGTAGATACACAACCATTTACACAAAAAGATAGAGCGTGCCAATGGAATTGGTTTAAAATTAGAGCTGAAGGCGAAAAAAAATCAACCTAACGGCACACTACTATGGCGAGAAGAAGAAGATGGAAGTCGTTGCCGCCCATCATTAATCAAAATAAATTACAAACTATGGACGGGCGAGAAATCATATGACGACTACATTTGAGCGCAGAGCTCTCAGTCCATTCTGAGGAGTGTTATTTTCTTAATAATAAATGATCTCGAGAGCCAACCAGACGGCTTTAGCCTCATGTTTCCGGCGATTTTGTTGCAAAAAATTAATAAAAAAACACGAAAAACAACGCCCCTCGACAAAAAAAGAAACAAAATAAGGCTGATCCCAGACATTGGGGCTGGGCCAGAGCCTAGGATTAAAGTACATACATGGATACAAACATATACAAACAACCAAAACCGCAACCTGAAAAAAATCGAGTAAAGAACAGGGGAAACACCTGTTCAAAATTACACACAGCACCGGGCGAGTGCGATAGGTCAAAAAACTCGGGATACACATGGCGGAGATCTGGATGTGAGTACGAGTTCACAACAGGAACAGGAGGGTTGAAAACCATCTATTGATTTTGGAAGAGGGTTAAAAATAAGTAAGTCTGTTCCTTGTAAGGATGTCTGACTGTAAACCGATCGCATGGCTGGCCTGTCCTGCCTGGCAGGATACGAGCCATCAACCGAAACGGCAGCACTGCCCTGCGGACTTGAACTGATTTCACCTTGAACCCTGGGCTCTTGTTCCCATCGAGACAAAGGCCAGAAAAGAGCTGGAGCTGAAGATGAACTGAGCAAAAGAGAGCCACAGAAGTCAACAACAAATACACACACGAAATGAAACCAAAACGAAACTCGGCAAATGGCAGAAATAAACAGAGATTGTCACATTCAAGTGTAGACTTGCAGCGACAATCGTTATCGAACTGACTGGCAGTATCGCAGTATTTACCTATCGAGTCAGTTTCGGTCTTTCTCCTCCATCATCTCACTTTCGATCTCCAATTCCATTCCAATGCCTTTGTCCGGATGGCCCACAAAAGTCAATAAATGAAAAGGAGTTGAAGACAAAGAAGCGACAAAGTCATTAGTCTCGAAGGAACAAAAGTCATAGCTTCAACATGCTTCTACATGTATGTTCATGTGGTTTTTAGTGACGTTTTGGGATTTATGTTTAAATAGCAAGTACGTGAGGTAATTTTTAGTATTTGCTGAGCATTTTTTATTAAAAAAAAAAAAAATAAAAAAAACATAAACCTTGAAGTATTATTTGTTTTTTATATTAAAAAACTTGTTCATTTAATTTAATCTCAAAACCTTGACTGGAAAATATTTATACTTTATGACCCTAAACTATAGACATTAATGAGATATATTATTCCCAGACCTATAAATTAATTAATATGAGAACCTCTAGTAAGCAAAAATTGCATTCCACCAGAAAAAACTCGTTTTTCTTTCAAGAACCGTACTAGTGGTCATACATACTATATTTAAAAAAGAATTCATTTATAAGAATTTACGAGCGCCAATAATTCACTTGAGCTGTACGTACCCATACAGCAGACCACTTTTTATGAATTATGCGCCAGTAAGTGTGCAGCAA